ATTAATAAAAATAGAATGATGATAAAGAATAAAAAAGAAGAAATTAAAATATAAAAATAAAAGAACTAATAAAAACAACTAATAAATAATAAAACAATAATGAAATTAGGATATAATGAAATAATGATAACATCAAAGTATTTTAATGATATTAATGATTTCATTAATTTAGAAATAGGAATTAAAAGATTTCAAGGAAATATTGAACGATTTCATTTTAATCCAATTCCATTAAATGAATATTCAAGAAAATTGTTTACTAATATTGAAACATTCCATGTTTATGAATATGATGATGAAATATTTAAAGATGGAAGAATATTTAAATATGTAATATGGTATTTAGTAAATTATTCAGAATATTTACAAGAGAAAGAACAAGGAAATATCTGTAAAAATATAGAATATACAAAAAAAGATAGAAAGAAATATGGAAATACAATACCATCAGAAGTTAAATCACTTGGATATGAATGTTTTATATACTGTTATTCATTAACAACAATTAATATACCATCCTCAATTAGTGTATTAGGAAAATGTTGTTTTTATAAATGTTCATCATTAACATCAATTAATATACCATCAACAATTAGTAAAATAGGAGATGGATGTTTTTATGGATGTTCATCATTAATATCAATTAATACACCAACACCAATTAATGAAATAGGAAGTAGATGTTTTGAATACTGTTCATCGTTAACGTCAATTAATATACCATCATCAGTTAAATCACTTGGATATCATTGTTTTTATGGATGTTCATCATTAACATCAATTAATATACCATCATCAATTAATGAAATAGGAGATGATTGTTTTAATGGATGTTCATCATTAAATCAATTAATATACCTTCATCAGTTATATCAATAGGATATTGGTGTTTTTATGAATGTTCATCATTAACATCTATGAATATAGATAATTTACAATTTATTAGTGAAGATAGAATATTTATGAATGAACCAGTACTAGTTAGTGTTCAAATACCAGAAAATCTACAAATAATCAATGGAAAGAATATTGAAAAGAAAGATATTAATAAATTTATTATTCCATCTTCAATTACTAAATTAGGAAATGCATGTTTTAATGGATGTTCATCATTAAAATCAATTAATATTCCATCATCAATAAGTAAAATAGGACATGGATGTTTTGATAGATGTTCATCATTAACATCATTTAATATACCATCTTCAATTACATCATTTGGACGTGGATGTTTTGAAGAATGTGGATGTGAAGATGAATTAATGAAAAATAAAACAATACCAAGTTATTGTTTTGAATCTGATGAAAGCTGGTCTGATTAAAATAAAAATACAATAAATGAAATACAATATAAATTGAAGTAGAAACAAATTATAATTGATTATCATTTATATTATTATTATTATTCTTTTCTTATTTATTCTTTTTGATATTATTCTTTTTTATTGTGTTAAAATATTTATTATTATTTATTGTATATGTTTATTATTTCTTATATCTTCTATTTTATCATATTTATTTATTATCTTTTATATCTTTATTATTATTTTATTATTTTTATTATTCTTATATTCTATATTTTATCTTATGATTTTCTATTATTAAATATAAATTAAATGAATTTGATATTATAGATAAATAAATATCAATTTTATTAATCTAATTGTATTTATATAATATAAATATCAATAAAATTAAATTATAAGTTAAATTAAATGAAATATGAATATGAATAATATTAATATGAAATGAAATAATTAAATAATAAGAATATATTTAAAATATAAATATCAAATACATGAATAAAATAAATAATATAAATAATAAAATATAAATCAAAATAAATAAATAAAATAATGAATAATAATCAAATATTAAAACATGAATATGTATTTAATCAAATACATAAACATATATTAATTACATATTTTAATAAATTTAATGAAAATTGATTTTAATATATATCATAAATGTATATTAATAATAATATATTCTTATATTAAATTATTGATTTATTTGTTAATGACAATTCTTTTATTGTTAGAATACCAGATATATATTATCAAAATATCAAAGATAAAATGATATATTAATGATGTTGATATATGTCAAATAGAAATAATGAATTAAATTATATTTACAAATAAATAAATACAA